GCCTATTATTGACTTGACCTCAGCTCTCTCACTCTCTCCTGTGTCCCTCAGTGTCGAATCAAGTATTTCATATCACACACACACACACACACACCGCCAAATGAACCCCGCCCCTGAATCAAATCCTGCTGTCGCCGGATGAGGACTGTGGAGAAAGCAGTTGACTCAGATTACTTGATCCCTTTGATGAAAGATACAGTGCTTGCCTTCCATCGTAGACTAACGCCACCAATCCAACGCCTTTTTTTCTCGGGTCCGTCACAGTGCTGACAGTCTGACAGATGGATCCGTCACAAGGCCAGCGAAGGAATCGAGTGCTGTGATGGAGAAGCCACCAACCCTGCCACCCCTTAAACATTCTCTTCAAGTGGCGTAATACCTTGGCACTCTCGTCCAGGAACAGGGGCAAGGTGGCCCTGATCCAGTCAAAGGGCGCCAGCTGGACAAAAGCGGGCACGGCGGCAGCTCCGCCTGCTCTCTGAAGCGACGTCTGAACGGCCTGGAAGAAGGATCTTTGTTCTTCGTAAACCCAGCCCTATCCGCCGTACATGAAATATTGAGTGCCGCTGAAGTTATCAACGAGGGAAGGAGAATAGAGCCACCTATTGGGATTTTCTTGGATTCGTGATGAGATGTCCTCCAACAGCCACCCTACCGCTCAAAGACCCTATCAGCACATACTTTGAATACTTCCTTGGGCCTCTCTCGATCAGAGCCACCCCTCCCTTATTCACTTCGCCCATTCACACAGTACAGCTCGTGAGCCTGGCTGGTTGATAATACGAAGGACATGGTTTTCAGCATGCCCGTGAACCTAAAAGTTCGGCCGACATGAGACCTGTAGTTTCTGCAAAATGTCGGCCATGGGCAGCCTACAGGTATGCGCAAAACAAAAATAGAAGAGTAGGTAGACAAGCCAATACTGGCCATGACCGGTGACGATGAGCCCGCCCACTTCAAAGCAGCCCAGAGCAAGTCTCAGCTCATGCGTTCGCCTCACCGTCAAAGTCTTTTAAATACGAGGCCGAAGCAGCCAACCCGCAGGTACTTGATTGCTTGAAAGAAAAGTGAGGGAAGAAAAGAAAAACAAAAAAGGAGCGGGAAAAAAGAATAATAAAAGGGAGACGAAAGAAAAGGAAAAAAAGGCCGCACATGGCCAGTTATCCGTCGTCTTACGGGAACCATGTCGACGTGGAATGCCCGCCGTCAACCACAGCTATTCCGCCGAGTCCGTGAAAGAGGCATGCGGGGCATTGAGCAGTTGAACGAACATGGTCAGATTCCCCTCTTTTCTTGTTAAGCTGGGCGAGGAAGACGGTGGCATGGTTGAGTTTCAGATGTCGTTGTCTGGCTTTCCTGGCCTAGCCAATCCTTTTGGGCATCACCATCGCCATCGCTGTTTCGTCGCCGCTTTTAACCTCACTCGCGTAACACGTAGATCAAGGCGTTCTTCTCTGCCTTGTCCTCGTCCCCCATCTTCCCTTTGTCTCTTTTCTTTACCATATTCACTGAAGGTTGGTCCTATCCGTCTGCTTTTAGCGCTCGCTTGAAACGTGCGCAGCCTGGCCCTCTTTCTCCTCCTTTATCCCCCTTCTTGCTTCCTTCCATTCCATTCCTTGAAGAGTTGGTTGGCCTCAGTCCCCCGTGTTTTTTTCTTGTCCCATCGCGGCAGCGAGATAGACATTTGCTCATGCGTGATGGATATGCCCTTTCTAATCAAGAACAGCCGGAGCGTGCGTGCTTGAGGAAGTAGAGTTTGGCGACAGGTAAAGGAAAGCACTACATGCGATGTTAGGTGCGCCAACGCACAAAAACGGAGACAAGATCCCAGAGATATGAGGATATCGTTTCATGTTGGGGCGCCCGCTTTTCCCGGTTCCCGCCCGCCCCTCTTCTTGTCTGGGTGCTCCATATGGGCAAGGAGAGATGAAGCTAAAGAAGCAGAGACGACCTCTCTCTATTTTTTACCACTCCTTTCCATTTCCGCCTTTGTTGGGTGGACTTTCTCGCACGTCCGCAACCACTTCTTGCCCATTTTAGCGCCGTCTCTTTCCCTTGGCTCTGGTGAAAGACGTTCCGCCTCTGTCCGCCTCAGTATTCGAAGTCCCTTTGAATTATCACTCGAGTGGAGAAGAGAGAGCAGGCATGGGGTGGACGGGGGCCAAGGGATGACAAGGAGTGGGTGGTTCTTGACGACACACGGACACAAACTTGGTCAGATAGCCTCGACGCGTGGATCGGCGTTTACCCGCTCTTTCGCAGCAGGTGATCCTCGATCTTTGCAATGTCTGTCGATCACCCGCGGGGGTGTGTGTTCTGAGGGTAGGGGAAAGGAACAATCAAAGACGGGGTTGCTCACCGATGAGGCGGAGCCCTTGGACCTTGGAGACTCGCAAGGAAGACCGGGATAGCTCGCCCGGATCGCCAGTTTACCTTGGCTCCTGGGGAAAGAAGAGCGAGGATGGCTGTTTGCTTTTGGATTATCACGGTTTTCTCTCTTCCTTCTGTGCGAGTATCTCGATATTGGTCTGCACGGAAGGGATGCCCTTTTTCCCGGCTGGAACCCCGTGGTTGGAAAACCAAAAACCAAAAAGAAGGCCACCCGCTCGTCACCACGCATGGATAAACGAATGCCTTCAATATATATATCTCTACAAGAGAGAAACGCAAACGTCACATCCATAGTTGCCCCCACTCCGCTCTTCTCTTTTTCCACCTCCCGCCTTCCACCTATCCCCCGTGCATATACGCGTGCTCTCGAACTTGCAAAGAAAAAAAAAAACCAAGAATCAAGAAAGACTAGAGCGGGCTAGTCCGTCTTCAAGGACCCCATACGCCATGTTTCATCAAGGCGCCCCAACGATGTACGTGCCAGGCCCCATTGGGGGTCCCTGGCGGAAACGCATCATGACAATTGCGGAGAAGGGGGAAGATACCCTGATTTTTACCAAGCCGGCCTCCACCTCTCGCGGGGGTCTAGCCTCTCTTTGAAGCCCCTTCCCTCGCTCGCCTCGCTAATTCTTCCTCTTCCTCACTTCCGCCCCTCCCCATTCTCCCCTCTTCGTGACTCTCTTTCCGCTTCTTCCTTTTATGCTGCATTCCCGTTCGAGAAAAAATGTCACTTGGCCTGCCAAAAGAAGCGGGCAGGGGTTCAAAAGGCGGCGCCACGCTCCGGGAGAACCGACCGGCCAGGAGGAAATCGCCGTGACTTCTCTTCATATTCTCCTCATACTTTCTGGTCGGGATTTGAGTGCTCTCATTGGCCCTTCTGGGCACTTACACACCAAAGCCGCCAACCTCCCGTCTTCTCACTCTTTACCTTCTTCAACGAGGGATCCTAGGGTAAATTTCCCCTCTCTTTTGTTCTTCTACTACTTATTTTGCTTGATGTGGCTCTTCGTGCTCCAGCGCTGAGGAGCTAAGGCTGATGCTTGCTCGAATCTATCCCGAAGAGGTACGAGAAGCTTCAACGGAGGAGGAAGGTCGGCGGTGGAGGAGGGAGACCAAGCAAAGACTTGTTGAAGATGGAAAACATAACCGGACACATCTTCTTTTATCTCTTTTCCTTCTTTTGCTTGCTTTGGTTCTTCTTTTATTATCCTACTCTCCCTTAACCCGCGCCGCAAGCGGACAAAAAACGAATCCAAAAACCATGGCATCTAACCCGGCCCATGCCGTGCGACGTAATGTCCCTCCCATCGCTTCCCGCCCGTTTTTCGCCTCCTCCTCCTCCACTCGGCTTCCCTCCCCTCCTTTCTCTCCGTAGCTCCGTAGCTCTCGCGTACACACTTACACACGCGCATACTTGTATCAAGACCACCCTCTCTTCTCTTTCTAGTGACCTTCTTCCCGCGCACTCGTCACGACGATGCTTCCCCACTTTGTCCCCTCTCGCCCTCCCCTCCCCGGGCCCGCTCACCCCCTCCCAAAAGGCGAGGACGAAAACGCCGTCGCACGCTCTCGCCGGCACATCCATCCTCCCGCTTGTTTACTTTGCCAGCGCCCGGCTCCCGCCGCTCGGGAATCTTGCCCAAGCCATGCACCGCATCGTGAAAAAGAGATCTCTCTCTACACTACCTGGTGCGACACCGCTTGGGATCCGCTAGCGTTCCGGGTTGAGCACGTAGAATAACGTGGAATAGAATAATATCTCAAAGGTGAGGACGGCAGTGCGGAGATGGACTGTGTATATTAGTTACCCTGTCTTTTTTCTTCTTCTTTTCCCTTCTTCCTCCTCTCACACCCGTGCTCCCGCGCCGGCATCCCCATGTGATCTCCGCTTAAAGATCCTGAAACGATGTGGGAGGACGCAAACAAGCTCGGTCTAGACTCGACTGGCCACGCAAGCTTGCCAGCACCTGCCTTGTTTCTTTTTTTTTTGCTCTTTACCCTCATCATCACATGTTATACCTCTTCTTCATACGCGAGGTAGGCTGACCTCTGCAAAGGACAATGGCTATAAGAAAATAAGTTGATTAAAAACCACTACTACTTCATATAAAGTGCTACAATAACACACCAAACTTAAAAATCCTGGGGAAGAGGGGGCCGCAAGAAATGATAAGAAAAAAAAGCGAAGCGAACAAGAAGAATAACGGAAAAGAACAACAACAAGGAGCACGCCGCAGAGAAAGGGCTAGGGAGTAAAAACAGACAGGAAAAAGAACCAAAGACATTGACAAAATCAAATCAAGGCTTTTCTTTCCCTTGCCCTCTCCCTCCCTTTTCCCCTTTTGCAGTACCATAACAAAAAAGGAATAAGAAAACCAAACACGCCTTCGCCCCGAATCCCGTGTGTTATGCATATGCGAGCTCTGCCCACTTGATACCGAGGAAGGAAGAAAACAAAAGAAAAAGAAAGAAGAAAGGAAAAGTAGCTATGAGCGGGAGGAACAAGGTTCCCTTGTGGCTGGTCAAGATAAGAGAGAGAGAGAGAGAGAGAGAGAGAGGATATTGTAGAAGGGTAGAAGACAAGAAAGAAAAAAAGAGTCCACAAAACTCTAAGCCTCTTCAGCTTGCTCCCGCTGCTTCTTAACAATGTAATACGTAATCAAATTCTTCGGATCGTCCTTGACGCCCTTGAGCGCCTCCCAGAACCGACCCTCCCCGACGCGCGCGTGCGTCGCCACGCACAGCTGCACGGCGTCCAGCCGCACACCCGAGTCCACCGAGTCCAGGCACCGGCTCTCCAGCCGCGCCAGCCTCTGCAGCTCCGTGTCCGAGGGCACGTACCCGGCCCGCCTCTCCAGCAGCTGCCGCAGCGCGTGCATCCCCATGCTCAGCGTCCGGCACCCTTCGGGCCCCGCGTCGCTGCTGCCGTCCAGCCGCGCCGTCAGCGTCATGACGAGCTCCGACGCGTCCCCCAGCGCCACCAGCTCCTCCGCCAGCAGCTCCAGCCCGCTGACAATGTACGTGCGCGAGTCGTACGCGCTGCGCGCCCGGAGCAGCGCTTCCAGCCCCGTCGACACGTGCGGCTGGAAGTTGAACCGCTCCTTCTTGAGCAGCAGCTTGATCGTGGCCAACACCTGCGCCTTGACGTCGGCAATCTTCTCCGTCGGCGTGTTCTCCAGCGGGTCCTGGAGGTACTCGAACAAGCCTAGCAGAAGCGCTTCAAACTTGTCGCCCGTAAACGCCGCCTTGTTGTCGCGGATCATGGACTGCAGCTTCCGGAACCCGTGCACGTCTAGAGACTTGGCCTTGACGCGCGTGATGCCGCTCTCCAGCAGACGCGAGTTCTGCCGCGACTTCTCGGGCGACGGAGGAGGCTCGTCCTCGGTTTGCGCGTCGCCCGAGGGCGGCGGCGGCACGGCCACAGCATTCTCGTTGACCGGTCGGTCCTCGAGAACCGTACCGGTAAACGACGTCGTCGGCTTGGGCGTGTCCTGATCCTCGACGAACGGATCTTCGTACACCTGCAACGCCTTCGGGGGCGACGGGCCCTTGGGCGTCGTCGTGGGAGTATCTTCTTCCGCCGCCTCCTCCGCTGCTGCCACCACCGTGGTCTTAGTCCGGGTAGGTGTCTCCGGGATCGGGCTCGGCATGGCAGGAGCCACGCGGGGCGGCGTCGTCTGCAGGCTGCCGCTTACCGTGGGCACGACGAGCGTGAGCTCTTCCGCCCGGGCCGAGCTCGACGTCGATGCGGGACTCGACAGCGTCTTCTTAAGCTTCACAGGCGTAGACTTGACCGACGTCGACTTGGCCGGGGACGAAGGCTTGGAAAAGGCTGCCTTGGTGGGCGAGGGGACGCTCGATTCGCTAGCGTGGGAGGCGTGGCCAGGTCGTGGTCGCTGAGCTGTTCGGCGTGGGGAGGACGTTGTCGTCGTGGTCGTGGTCGCGGTCGACGACTTCGATCCCCGGCGGGCTTGGCAGCCTTGGTCGTCTCGGGGCTGTTGGCCTCCGCCGACGGGCCGTGCGACCTGACCGAATAGGGCCCCGCGGTGGCAGGCCGGGCAGCCATCTCGGGCCGTCTCCTAGTAGGCCGCGTGGGCGCCGCGGACATGCCGCCCGAGTTCACGGCAAGCGTTTGCTCGGCGCGCTGACGGGGTTGGATGGGGCCTGAGCTAGTAGGCGCGGGTGCGGGCGCGGGCGCGCCGTTGCGTACCGGAGAGAAGCTCGACATGGCCGAGCCGGGCCTGGCGGGAACGTTTTTCGCGCCGCCTAGCGCCCGTCGGCCGGCCATCACGGCCTCTCGCACGGATGGCTTGGGTCCGCTCATCGTGCTCTTGGACAGTCCGAGGCCCGGTCGAGGTCCCGTTGCTGCCGCCGTCGTTGTCGTTGCCGCCTTCTTGGGGAGTTGGGGTTGTTGGAGTCCTTTTGGAGCAGCTTCTGCGCAGTCGGATCGAGATTATCCATGATCCTACAATGGCGGGGGCGTGTCGCGTTAGTCAGATGGCTTCTTCTCAGGCCAAACAGCCCAGATGAGGAAAAGAGAAAAAGGCACAAAAAGAAAAGGGAGGGGCAGCGCGACAGTTGTGAGTCGAGTCCACTTACACTTCAGCTCGAGCTGGCCAAATCTTGGAAAAGGTCCAATACGTCGCTCGCGCCTTTTCTCGAACACCCGGGTTAGCGTCGGCCAGGCCCTTCTTGATCGACTTCTCAATCAGGTCCAAGCCGCCCGAGTGCTCGATCTGGGCCTTGTGCTGGGCCTCGTGGAGCATAATGGTGACCATCCACCCGGTGGCGTAGAGGCGGGGCTGCACGTTCTTGTCCTGGCTGGCGGCCCAAATGTGCTGCAGGAGACGGTTGCTAAACGTCACCTTGCTGAGGATGATGTCGATGGTGGTGTTGGCGAGCTGCGAGGCAATCTTCTTGGTCGAGCCGCACAACTTGAGGAGGGTCTGCATGAGGATCTCGACGAGGGGGTCCATGCGGGGGCCAAAGGCGTTGGCAATGTCCTGGACGAGGGCGCAGCCTTCCTTGGACAAGCTCGTCCGGAGCGAGGTGACGGCCTTGATGATGCCGTCGAGGAGCGCGCGCGCGCCGGTGATGAAGGCGTCGGGGAAGTCGGAGGGCGCGTTGCCCGCAATCAGCCGGCGCAGCATGCCCACGCCCTCCTCTCTCTTGAGCCAATTCTGCTCCGTCTCCCTCCCTTCGAAGTGGAAACCCATCTCGCGGAATATGTCCTCGAGCTCGCGCTGGGTGTTGACGTAGCTGGGCTCCACCGGCTCGGCCTTGCCCTCGAACATGGGGGTGATGGGGCGGTCGGCGCCGGCGAAGGCCGATACGCTCGTGGTTAGGGCGGGCGTGGTGACCTCGAGCCTCGCCCCGGCGGGCGAGAGCTTTGACGATGGCCTGCTCGATGGCGGTTCGGACCTTGAAGTTTTTGAGCTGTCGCTTGAGATCGGATTTGGCAGCGGCGGGCGCGTTCCTAGAGGGCAATCAGAGTCAGCAACCCGCGTCTTATAGTACCTCTACCTCGGAATATCTATCACTCCAACCAAGGCGAGAACAAAGAAAGAAAAAAGGGATGAGGTTATTTCTTTTCGTCCAACTTACTTGAAGAGGTCAATGACAGTCGTCTTGGCAACGTCCCTCACCATGCCGTCGGCATCTTCCAGGAGATCCATAAGGAGCGGGACGTACGACCTAAACTGCAACCCCTGCTCCTTGTGCATCACGACGAGCCACTGCATGCTCGCCTCCTTGGCCCTCGCGTTCTTACCGGACATGGCCGTGTTGCGCACCGAGCGTTCGACCTCGGCGGGGGCAATGGTGTATATCGTCGTCATGGCCTGGGTCGCCAGCGTCCGCAGCTTATCTTTGGGGTCGCCGAGCTTCTCAATGACGACGGGCATGGTGCGCATGGCCTCCTTGGCGACGAACTTGGGCTCCTGGCGGGACAGCCGCGTGAGGAGGTGGTTGAGGGAACCGAAGCCGGCATTGGCGAGCGCGGCGTGCTGCGACACCGAGGCGGAGCGTAGGGCGTCGAATAGCTGGGGCACGCACGTCTCCGGCACATTGTGCTGCTTGATGCCCGACTTGATGGCGTTGACGGCGTTGACCTTGTTGTCCGTGATGACGTCGCTCTTGAGGAGCAACGCCTGCAGGTCGGCGACCTGCTGGTCTGTGATCCTGTCCGTCATCTTCTACAGGTGAAGCCGACAGAAGGAAAAGACCACAAAAAGAAAGTGAAGAAACTCGATGGTGGTGGGTGTTGTTTATCGGATGATGCTTGTGTGTACCAATGGGCCGACCTATCTGCTACCTCTAAGAATAGGGGAACCAAGGGAGGGGCAGGCCGTCGCGTCGAGAATGGGTACGAAGGGGGCCGCCGGTCTACGGTTAGTCCATGCGAAGGACTGCTATGGGAACTGACGGATAAGGAGAGGTGACGTGCGATCGAGAGTCGTGGTTCGTGGTGCGTATCGCGGGGGTAGAGCGTGCTCAGCAGATGTCGTAAGGGATAGAGTAAAGAAAAAAACGTCTCAGAGATAGATGTTTGTAAAGGGATAAGGAGCAACAGCAGCTTGAGGGGGGCCGAGATGGTGGGGTATCTGGGCTTAGTTTATCGAGTTAAGACCAAAAGCAGAAAAAAAGAATACCCGTTTTCTGATACAAAGCAGAAAAAGCCGGGCCTGTGGGTTTGATGCGGACCGGGCGTGTGTGTGTCTCTCTCTTTGCGCGATGTCTGTTTTTCTTTCAAAAGGGGGCGCCGAAGCCAAAACAACCAACGGGGAGGCAACAAAATAGTCGTTCCTGTTGCCCCGAGCGGCGAGTCGCAACCAAAAAGGTACGTACTGGAAGGGAAGGGGGTACATTGGTACTTTGTACTTTGGGGCCATTTCTTAGCGAAATTCAATTCCTCCCCTGCAAGCCAACTATTCTGGGTCCCGGTTTCCGTGCAAGCCGTGGTCTCAATTTCTTATCGATAAAAGCAGCTGCACAACGCTTATGTCACGACTACAGTTCAAGGGTTCAAATGTTCACTTAGCTCCACTCTCCACTTTGGCGGGGTGCTATCCGACAAATCGTGGAGTATCAGCCTAGCTTTCTCTCAAGATCAATATAGAAAGTGCATGTTAAAGTAGTGTCTACAAAGGGGAATTCTCCTATTATGAGTAGACCACATTTTTGTCTTTTTAGAATTTACATCCTTTAGTCTATCCCCACCATATTCTTTTGAAAAGCAGTGTACCAGTAATAAACCCCCAAATGTTTCTGTCGCTTGTACCGGGGCCCTTTGAAATACAAGGGCTCAAGCTCAGGCTGCCAGCCATAGCTGACCCAACCCCAACAGCAAGCCCGGGCCCTCCTGAACCCTTCATGTGCCATTGAGAGCAAGACCCCTGTTCTCCTTCCCCTCCCCACTAAAAAGCCCAAAAAAACATTCCCCTCATCCCCTCCGGATCCTCCAGGAGCGGAGCCAAACCCCCGTTCTACACCGGCTCTTTTTCTCCCCCTTCCCTCCCACCTAATCCCCTCTTCCTCGAGAGGAATTCACTACCGGAACCACCAGCATCACGATAAACCCCGTAGCCAAACTCTAAACCTCTCTTTCAACACAACCAGAGGGAAAGCCCCCCTCGCCCGGCCGAATCCACCCTAGCCTTTGATCCAGCAATGTCTCCCCGGACCCTCCCCTCCCGGTCCTCCACCGCCCCCTCCTCCGACTCCGACCCGATCCTCACCCCAGAAACTCCCAGTCCCGCCCCCGCTACCTCCACCTCCACACCCGCGCCCCCAAGCAGCCGTCTCCCCGACGCCAAACCGCCCTCCTCCCCTTCTCCCGCCCGCAGAGCGCCCCACCCCAAGCTCCGCCTCGAGATCCGCGACCTCTCCCACCAAGGCGCCGCCCTCTTCCTCCGCTCCGTCAACCCCGCCACCATCCTCTCCCCCGCCGTCGCGTCCATCTACCGACTTCTCTACTCCTCCTCTTCTTCTTCTTCTTCTTCTTCTTCTTCCTCCTCCGCCGCAGTCCCCGCCCCTCCCACCCGCTCCGTCACCCTCATCCTCCGCTCCATGGGCGGCGTCGCCTACACCACCTCCACCGACCTAGACCGCGACCACAAGGAGATCCACTTCTCCCTCGACTACATCGCCAACATCCGGCCCCGCGACCGCGTCGCCCACGAGATCGAGGGCGTCCTCACCCACGAGCTCGTCCACTGCTACCAGTACGACGGCACCCGCCTGCGCTACAACGACAGCAACGACTTTTCCGACCAAGACGACCAAGGCGACGACGACGACAATAACAACAGTAGCGGGAACCCCAACGACGACGCCCGCGACGCCCGCTGCCCCGGCGGCCTCATCGAAGGCATCGCCGACTGGATCCGCCTCCGCTGCGACCTCGGCCCCCACTGGCACCGCGACGAGAAGCAGAGCGCCCGCCGCGCCAAGTCGTGGGACCGCGGCTACGAGTCCACCGCCTTCTTCCTCGACCATCTCGAGTCCCGCTTCGGCCACGGCACCGTTGCCCGTATCAACGGTAGGCTGCGCGTCTCCGGGTACCACGAGGACCGCTTCTGGCCCGCCCTCCTCGGCGAGTCCATCGAGGAGCTGTGGGAGGAGTATTGCTGTGCCGGTGAGCCTGATGACAACAACGGAGACGGATGTGACAAGGGGAAGAAGTAGCATGGAAACAGTTCCCGCCCTCCTTCCTCCTGCCTTTTGTCTACACACTCTACACACTCTAAACACCTTTCCTAGATACCGGATCCCTTTCGTTCTGGAAAATTCGTCCCCATTTTCAGAGTGTTCTAGTGAGATAGACGCTTTGGATCCATCACGGAAAAGGACTTCCTGCATATGTTTTCTTATATATTGGTCTTCTTTTTTTCTCTTTGGTTTTCCCGATGTATTTTGGAGCTATAGCATTTATAAAGCAGCCGATCTGATGATTACCTTGAAAATTTCTCCACCCGTCTAACTCTGACTTGAGGAAAGAACGAGAGCGAGACAAGGCCCCCATGTGCGATTGACACACAGATGTGCACACGAGGATACACACCAACAAAGAAACGGATACGGGAAACGTGTGTGAATAAAAATAAATAAGAGAAAACTCTTTAAAAACCTCCAGAGTTGTTTCCGTATGCCCTGATATCCTTCCAACCGTTTGAAATAGAAGCCCCTAGTATTGAGTATCGAAGGGAGAACCGCATAACGCCGAATCCATGGAAAAAGAACAAAAGCCAAAATAGCACTACATTTGGGCGAAATCGGGGTGCCTTGCGAGCGTTGTGAAAAAGAAAAAGAAAATGGCGGGGTGGGTACAGAGAGAACGACAGGGATGAACAAAGTTTCGTAGTTTTGAGCGAGGTAAAGGGGAAGGGCCAAACAGGAGAGAGCCAGAAAAAGTGTGCATGAAAAGGTTTATGTCCTTCGTTTACTGGTGTACGGGCACGGGGATGTCGTCCTCGCTTATGGTGCTTCCCACCTCGGACCAACTGGCTGGGGTGAACATGCCCTCGCTGACACTCCGGACCTCAAATTGCTGGCTGGCAGCATCGGAAAAGTTTTGGTGAACGCTCCCGGCGTCCACTTCGATACCGTCGTCAGACGCGGCAGGGACGGGCTCGGCGCTCGAGACGGATAGAGCGTCGTCGGGGTGAGCTGGCCGTCGGAGAAGCCAGCGTGGGAGAAGGAGCCCGAGGAGCTCATGGGGGAGGAGGGGCGGTTGGCGGGGTCGGTGGCCTGGGCCCAAGCCGAGATGTCATCGAAGAGAAGAGAAGCGCGGTCGCCGAAGCGGGGGTCCACAGCATCGTTGGCGGCCTCGTTCAGCACGGGAGAGCGGGGACGCTCCTCTGAGTGCTCAAGGGTGCCGGAGATGGTGCTCGCGGAGCTCTCACTTCCAAAGTCAATAAGGGCCGAGGCTTCTGGGTCGACAAGTGTGCCCGAGGCAATGCCGACAGCAGCAGCACCAGCGACGCCGGTGGCGACACCAGTGGCGATACCGGTGGTGATGGCGGCGAGGAAGAGCGGCGGCGAGCATCCTGGTCGTGGTCGGCGGTGGTGGCACTGTAAATATCGGACATCTCGTCAATGGATGGTGCCAGCATGGAGGCGGCAAGCTTCTCGTCCCGAATCTCTTGGTCGTCGGAGAAGGGGTTGGAGTGAGTAACGCCTCGCCTCACTAGCCCCTGCCTGTTGTCGCTGGCATCGATGCCGGACGCGCTGACAACTAGGGTGCCGTCTTCGCCCGAGGCGTCGGGCTTTAGGAAATCGTCAAAGCTCACTGCCCTAGACCGCGGCTTCTCGCCGCTAGGCTGGGGCTTCTCCGACATTTGCGACTCTCGCAGGGCATTCCAGTACATGAGCTCTTCCCTCTGTCTCTTCTTAGACTCGTCGTCGGCGTCAACACCAGGTTCGAGTCCTCCGCGCGAGGACATGAGAAAGCCCTCTGCATCCTCCGGCCGATTGAAGAGGGGCTCGAGGTCGTGGGTCTGACCCGGGTCAAGCTCATTGCCGAGATTGTGGAGGGCGATGGCGAGCCGGCGACGGATCTGGTCGGCGTAGCGTCGCACATCTTCGTTTTCGTAAATGGCAATGGCAGCTGCGACCGCTACGGTCACGGCAGCTACGCCGGCTGAGACGGCAACATGGTTAATAGGCGGCATCACACACCTCAAAACAAGCAGCACAGAATCAAAGGAGTGAGCGTGAGCAGGCGCTAGAGGTATTGGGAAAGAGGGGGAGTAGAATAGATAAATAACAAAAGGGATATTCTCAGTGCAAGTAGAATGGGGGTACTGAGTATTAAGTGGAAGGGAGGGGTGGCTGAGGAGGTCTGGACAAAAACGAAATAAGAGGCTTGCGAGAGGTGCAAACCTAGACGGTGAAAATGTAAGCTTTCGAGGCCTCCCTCTCTTTTTCTTTCTTTTTCTTTGTTTCTTCTTCTTCTTCTCTTTTCTTCTATGATTTATTTGACCCGGGGGCGAAGAATAATAATAAGGGGGTTTTGAGGGGGCACGAGACGTTGATTGCGTGGACAGTGGCGTCACGCCAAGTGCCCTTTTGGTGGTTGCCTGACTTTGGCGTCTTCCCACACACTTGAGGGCCTCGCTGTTCAGGCGCTGAAACCCCAGACACGGGGGCGAGGCGTAACAGCACGAACAAAGTTGAGGGTCGACTCGGCTCTGGCTCTGGCTCAATGGGTGGCGAAGCCGGAACAAGACGTGGGTGGCGGCTCCCGCCCCACCCAAAATCAACTCATGGCCGAAAAGGGCAACTAAGCCTGGGGGTTGAGTGCACGTTGATTGCCGCAAGCTTTGCAAAGAGAGCAGGCAAAAAAGAAGGAAGAAAAGACATTGACAAAAGCACGAGGAGAAACACGGAGCAGTGAGATGGGCTAGAGGCGAGACGAAACAGCCGTGGATTTCGCTTGTCCCGGCCTTGTCCCGCCCTTTTTTTCTAACCCAAGATGTGCTGCGGATTGGGGAGACGTTGAGAATTGCATGCAATAGACCAAGGATGATAATAGCTAGCTGAGGGACCAGGTCTGGATCATCTCCAGCTGGGCGAGGGAATGGCTCAGCGCGGGGTAGAAATTTGGCGGTGGTCAACTTGGTTGACGGGAGAGGGGCAGAATATCAACCCCCGGCCGTATTGGGGGATTTGGCAGCTCATCGCCCACCGCCCAGCAACAGCACGAGTCAAACCAAACCACACCCGACAAATACGGATGAACGCGTATGACATACCTCCGACAGCCAGCGCAGGAGGCGACATCGATGGCTGCGCTCAACGGCAAGGGGGACGGACCCCGAAAATAATAAAATGACCCTTGGGGAAATCGTGCAAGAATCCTCCTGCAAGTGGTGAGCTCTTCGGAGCAACACGCAAGACCTTGGCCCCCAAACCAAAGGGGAGGTGGGACGAGGAAAGCGAGAGGTTTGGCAAGGAGGTCTCGAAGAAGAAAAAAGAGAGCAAGGCACAATAAATAGGAAGAAGGAAATAAAAAAGAGGAAAGGAAATATAAAAAGAAAAGAAGGGAACAGGGTAAAAAGAAAAAAGGGAAGAGGGGAAAAAGACGACGGGGGCAGGGGCGAAGGGGAGGGGGAACGCTTGGTGGAATGACCCCAACCTTGATTGTGAGGAAGAGAGCCCGGAATACTAGGCGCGAGAGAGCCTTGGCCCGGGTCAAGCGCCACACTTTGCAAACATCTGAGGATTTGACGAATTCGCGGTTTCCACGAGAGCAAGCGGGCTACGTGTGAGGGTTGGGGCCAAGAGACGGCCGCGGGCTGCCATCAAAAGGAAAAACTAAGCGTTCCCCGTCCACCTTTTTTTGCTCTGTTTCTTCAATGTTCTCGCCGTCGAATGAATGCAATGTCCATCATGAATCAATTGAATCAGCGAGCAAGAGGAGCAAGGCCAAACTCTAATACCGGGGCCTCCTCTCCTCTCTGCCGAACGGGCGGATCGGCGAGAAATCGCCATCATTGGCGTCTTTTACCCTCAAATGTTCCAGTGCTCCTCGGCAGTGCCTTTGGGTGCTTACTCAGTCCAAAACGCCCACGCCCCAAAAGGAGCGGAAGGATCGGATTTGCGGACTCGTACGGGAACATGGAATCCATTACACCCGTTCAAGGGCTCTTCAAGTTGTGTGCGTGACCATCAAGTGTGGCTAGACTCCCAACTACCTCGGTAGGCTTTCTCAACCCATCAACCTCTACACTAGCTGTCACCCTCTTCTTTTCGTCGTCTCCCCGCACCCAACAAAAACCCAAAAGCCAAGACTTTGGGTCCCAGGGACGCTTCTCACATGACGCCATTCGGCATGCGCCCAGAGCGGAACGACGGCAAGTGCCGCTAACCCTGGGGGAAGTGCGGTTTCCGGGCTTGGTCTAATACTATTATTGATCTTTTCTTACGACACTACAAAGTCGAGTGTGAAGACATTGCCCTCCCGGGCACCGAGCTGCTTCCTTTGCTAAGCGTTGGGATTCTTGGATATTGTTATCGGAGCAGATTGGGGGAGCAGAATCATCCGTAGTGGAATTCTTATCACGGCCTCCGACTTCCTTATTCTTCGTGCACTCAAAACAAGCCGGCCGGTTTTGTCTCATCGCATTTGCGTCAAATCCCCGTTTTCTTCGCCCTCGACCCTTCAGCCTTGCAGAACTCCATCAAAAGGCGAGGTGGGTCTATTAGAGAGAAACGGGGTTCACCTTGCACCTTTTGGGGGTTCCTGGCCTTGGCTTTTTCAATGTTCTGTCTTGGAATGCAGCCTCTGTTTTCATGATCCACCGATGCCAAGCATATTTGACGTTGGACAGGCGGGTCTACCCGCATCCATAACCTGTGCTGCTCTCCATCGACTACTTTTGAGATGGGAGTGTTTCACTCTTGCATCTTGGCCCTGGTGCGCTTCCATCCTATCAAATTTCTTGTGACCAATGTGGAGGATTAGAGTACGTGGACGCCAGTTTACATAGTGTTAGGATCTAATGTTGGCAACACCAACAAGACGCCTTGTCCCGATTTTCCGCCAAGTCTTTGAACCTCATGTTGTGAAAGCATACCAATACTCGGCACGAAGGCGAGCAAGTTCCAGCGTGTTTATATCTCGCGCGATGTTACAATCGTACTGATCCAAGACGGGCAAAATGGAACGAAGATAATATATATATATATACGGGTGAAAGGTTGTTGCTAAAGAAAAAGGAAAAACACAAGCAATGTCGTTAGGCGTGATAAGATGGGTGGTATAACAATTTCCTCTGCCTTTTTCTCTTTTGAAACTCCAATGCCTTGTTACCGAAACTTCCGGGCTTCACAGAGCATGCAAAACGGACAGAATAGAAGCTCTCATCCTCCGAACATGTACCCCACTCCGGTAGGATCTATTGTGGGGGATAAAGAATCGTGCCACTATGTGTGCTTACTGAGAGCCGGTGGTAGAGCTGCTCGAGGAAGACGAGGTAGAGTCGGTGCGGGTGGCCTTGACACGCTCACTGTTGAAGGATGTCGTTAGTAACGGGAGGAAAGAAGAAAAATGCACAAGAGACGTAAATCCCCGAACGAGGAAGGCAAGACCCAGAAGGCATGCAAAGGAGAACTCTGTATTCCATGGTCCAGCACTTGTCTTGTCCCGTGAATATGGGAAAGGGGATAGACGGATGGATCGGAGAGAATGGATCGGGGATGAAAGGGCTCGGTGGTAGGTCTTACTATGTCTGGCGTCCCTGGAGGTGAGCCGTATATTTGGCACCGCCAGTCTTGATGTGGAACTTGACACCACCCTTGCCCTCAAGGGCATTGAGGAGGTTCTCGCCGTTGAGCTTGGCGGCAGCGGGAGAGGAGGAAGGCATTGTGGCGGCTGTGTAGGTGGTGATGGGATTGCGGAATATGGGTGTTTTGTATTGGCTGTGCAAGCTCGAGCGGCCAAGGGCGGGAGTGGCAAGGGGCGACGTGTAAGAGGATTGAAGGCTTGCTGTGAGGGAATAACGTTGATATGTAGTGCTTCTTGGCAGGGGACGGAAAGGGGGAGAGAGGGAGGTAGTATGTCAAAGGGTTGGGAGGACCGGAGACTTAAATAGATTTTCTGGATAGCGAAGACCTCCTATGAATGGATCTTGAAAAAGACTATGAACAGAGCGGAAGAGAGGGAAGAAGGGGGCTTGCTCCAGTCAAAGTAAGCGGGTGCGCGAGAACATCCACTTTCGAAGAGGAAGGAGCACAGAAACGCGAGAGGGCGAGGGTCGGAATCGCGGGAACGAATCAGCGCCCCCGCAAAAAAAAAAGAAAACGGGAACGAACAAAAGAAAACGGGAACGAACAAAAGAAAAAGAGAAAAAAGGACGAGTCTAGTGTTAGTAGCACCGATCAATTGGAGAGGATCCGTATGGAGCCCTCAGGTTTGGCACTTGTTGGGGAGGGGGAGGGGAGAGAGGAGCTGGCTGCTGCACGGCCGAGGGAAATAACGACCGGCTTGATGATTCCTGTCCCTTCCGCGACACTACGGTAGCCTCTGAACTAGTATAGCTTACCTTTCGGGGACGAGGGCGTCACCAGGCATATACCGCCCAGGTACGTGGTCTGTCGTGCACACGACTAGGGCAGCACACGTTGCTCCCGCGCCGCTAATAAGTCTTGACGACGTCCCTCGACCTTGAAACCCACTTCACCTCTTTTTTTTTCCTTTTTCTTTTTTTCTTTTCCCCAGCAGGGCGTCGATTCTGGTTTCTCCGGACCGGCATGGAAGATGCCTCGACACTCCTCGGAGGCTCATCCAATGTACATGAAATTAGGCAATCCTGCGTCCGTATCCCGTACCTCGAACAATGTACAGACAACGAAACAGCCAGCACAATGACGATCAGCTCCACTTCTTCACCACTTGGGCAAGGTGTCCCCCACGAGAGCCTGGGACCCAGACCACTTGTTGGGAAGCAGGCACACGACACACCGATGCGCATTGCCTGCACGGGGGGCAAAGGAAGAAAGGGGGAAAGCAGCTCCGCGGCTGTTGACGGTTTCGCAACAGCGCATCTCGGTAAGCGCGGAAGGAAAGACATCCATCAATGGAGCTGGAGGGTGTTGTCTGGTTGTAGCCCTTCCTTCCACCCCACATCCTGTCTTTTTTTTTTTTTTCATCATGTTCCTTTTCTTTGGCCTGTACGTACGAAGTATGTTCCCGGGGTATTACGACCTCTCGGAAAGTTCCCAAGCTTAACCCGCGTATTCCTGGGATGCTTGGGACGAAACGAGAAACCCAATTTCCGGCAAGGGCGGAAAAGAAGTCCTTTTTTTTCTTTTCTTTTTCTTCTTTCTTAGCTGCCCTTTTCCCGCCCTGGACATTCCTCGGCGCTGGGGTGGGTCCTGCAAGATGAAGTTGGAGAAGGGGCAACAAGTTGGGTGTCTGCAGGAAAATGGGGGCGTGTCTGCAAGGATCGAATTTGATGGGGTACACCGAGTAAACCGAGCCAACGCGAGCTCGAGTTTTAGTGTGGGATGGGGCACCAAAGGGGGTGTGTTGTTCTCGTGGCTGGCCACCGGCTTCCAAGCCCTATTTTCTCCGCACACTGTGCTGGCTGCGGCAGCAACTCATCTTGGTTTCTGCCACTTGTCACAGGAAGAAGCCGTGAGGCGTTCCGATAAAAGAGGGTATGTGGATGGCTACACGTAAAGATGAATATGCCGTGGATTCGCCGAGTGGGTCTGTGTATATACGTCTAGAGATATTAGATGTATGGATGCGTAGACCAATTGATCTATGTGTTGCCCTTTTTCGCTGCGATGACCCCATTCTCCTTCACGAGCTTTTACGTAGTGGTATCCCGCCAGGCAGCTTGCCATCAATAAATCGCGAAACGAAGGCACGCCCTCTTCTACGATCATCGAGTTGAATGAGCTTGGTAGGATAGACGGACGGAGTCATGTTGCGGTTGTCCCCTTATTACCTGTTAGCGCGTGTCGGTAACACGCTCTTCAAACTCCGGGCTATCGCTCGCCCCTGGGAACAGGTGGGTTCTCATTTATGGGGCGCGGGGAGGATTCCCTAAATATATCAATCTAGAGAACTTGTTGTATCCACCACCTTTTCAACCAAAGAGCAGTGGGTGAGGGCCAATGATGGGCCTTGTGATCGACCTATCCATTTACTTGTAGCCGGCCAAGCCCCGTTTGGGTGTTCCTGAACTGACCTATGGATCTATGGATCTATGTGAACAAACTTCCCATGAAGCCTAGAGGGACTGATGCGCCTCAAGAAGAGGAGCGTGGTACCCAAGCTACGAATTAGCCACAGAGAGAAGAGAGAGAGAGAGAGAGAGAGAGAGAGACGAAAGGAAGGCTCCCAGGGAAGGAACAGAGAGCAGCTACGGCAATGACTCAAGTTCAATGGTATTGTATCTGTGGTTTCCACGGGGAGGATCAGTGATATAAGTGCAATTGGTTTGGAGACGGGCTCCGAGCTATTCGATTTCCTTGCAAAACTGCCCTCACCTCGCCAAAGGGTCCTTTTCCACTCTTCGAAAGGACATCGATCGAAGACATTCATCCAAGATATTGATATCAAAGATGTGGGTCAGGTTGGAGGAGCACCGAGCGTTAGGAAAGAAAATCCGAGGACACTGGCGTACAAGGCTTGATGGGTCAAGTGTAGATGGCAAATACTACGGGGAAAAAAAGGTAGAGTCCCAGCGAAGGGAAAATAACTTCATTGATATGGATGTTTAGTGTCTCAGCATTGGCTCACTAAAAAGCTTCCCAACTATTCTCTGAGACCACTACCATTAAGCGTAATGGCAAATCGAACCCTTTTTAGGTCACTCTGGTTTCTTTTTCTCCATTTTTTCCTTTGCGGGTGACTCCCCTCCCTCCAACAGTCACTGTCTCTCAAAAGTGCCCACTCGCGATCGAATGGCAACAACTTGGATCAAACGTGAGATTGAGTGCTTACATATACCCTTCCCTGCGTTTTAACTTACAGCACGGGAAGCGAATTGGGGTAAGGCAAGACAAGACCAACGAGAGACACGAGCACCACATCCAAACCAAAACTTCTCTTACCTTTTTTCTTCGTTTCTTCCCCTTGCGTCTTCCCTCTGGCACTACGGTAGTACGCATGCTATCAGCCTGCCGAACTTTCCGCCATCGAGATGGGGAAAACGGATCGAGAAGATCGAGGGCTCTTGAGACACTGTCGGGGTGTTGTCTGAAGTCGCAACCCAATTGATCAGTGGAGCGAGCAATTATATCACAGTCCAAGTATCAACGAGGAGGCCATTCCACCATCGTCCGGGCCAGTGCAATATCCAGGCCAGTGCAATACATCCATAATCACGCCCAATGATCTTTTCCAAGATCAAAGTTGATATCAGAGGGATCGGTTTCGAAAACTACATCCCGCGGGGTCTATAAAGAGCCCCGATCCTAATCTTCCCTCGCCCCGTTCGAGTTGTCTCGTTACCTTGTATCATCATCCACACTCGCTTACAATGTTCCGACCAACTCTCTTCTCTCTTTTCCTAGGCGCCCAGCTCGCCACCGCCGGCGGGCTTCCCGAATGCGCCCCGGTCGTCCCCGCACCGCCCACCCCGGCCTTTGACGTCCTCACGTTCACCGTCATCGCCACCGTGGCCCCTCCATCCTCACCTGGGAGCAGGTACTGGAGCACATTTGCCCCGGCGCGCCCGTCCCGGGTAGCAGAGCGGCCATCCCGGGCGGTGACGCGACGCCCCAGGGCGGCCTGCCGGCGAGCCGGGACCGCCAAATTGTCTACGTCAACCCCTTGGAGGGCCCGCCGTCCCAGGCGCCGGACAGGCTACCGGCGACGTGGGAGGAATGGGGCTTCGTACCTACCCTCGTGTACCCGGCTTCGGTTCCGGCACCCGGCCACGCCGGGGACGGTGATCACGGGCCCGGTCACGGAGGGTCGCGGCCCTTGGGACCGGGCAACGACGGGGGTAGCGATGATCAGGGTCACCACAGAGGCGGCGGCCACGGTCCTGGTCCTCACCCTCCGGGCCCTTTCCCGTTTCGCCCCCACAAGCCCGAGTCGAAGACGTCGAAAAGCTTGAGCCTTAGCACCAAAGTTCGACCGACTTCTACTAGTACGTTTTTGATACCAAGACATGGCTCTCTCCTACTTCAAGTTACAGAGATGGTCCCACACCCCCAACAGCACTTTGATCTTTCCTCTCTCTTCCTCTTTCCTCCTCTTTCCCTTCTCCTCCTCTTTCTCCTCCCGCCTCATCCTCGTCCTCTGATTTCCTTTCCTTTCATTTCTTCTCGCCTCGCAAGGCCCCAGACTAACCTCTTCGCGCAATTTTTACAGGGTCGTCCACGTCCACAGACGAACCCTCTTCCTCGGGAACTCCAAGGCCATCCTTTTCATCTACCGAGACCTCTGCATCCACTGACACCTCTACATCTACGGTGGAGGAGGCTACGACTACGGTACCTATCAATGCAACTTACAACACTCCACCCCCACCACTGAGGCGGGCACTACGACTACCAGCACTCTACGACTGAGGCGGACACTGTGAGACGGAGACATGGGTGGATGAATCCTCCCTTCACACAAGCTCCTTGACTGAGACCTAAGAGCCAACTGTATCAATATACAAGGAACCCCCCTTTTCCTTATTTACATAAATAAACACCGATGGACTCGTACCTGCACCCTCATGTCTGTCCCCATCCAAGTTGCAAACCCTCACAGCTTTGATTGATCCTAGGTTCACCAGTCACCGGGGATCTAGGGCGTATAGGCACCATCTGGGCATGTCCACAGGACTGGTTCACGTGGTGCCTCTTCAAGGTGTATATCAATCAATACAAGTCAAGGAGCAAGGAGAAGGGTTTGTGATACAGTGTGTGCCGCACCGTACGTGCAAAGCAGGGCCGTTCCGTACACCCCCTCCCCCAGCCCAGTACCTCAGTATTGATGTTCAATCCCACAACTTGAACCAGGCCCGACTCGTAGGTACTTGGTCCCAATCCTACCCCACATCACGCTTTCTTGGTGCGAGTTGCACTTGCAGCAATTGCCCAGAGCCGCGCTCTCTCATTGGCTACGCATTTCGGATCCGGAAATCTTCGAGAAGACGCCGTCCCCCAATCCCGCCTTCCTGGACCAGACGAGTGTTTTCCCGCCGGCTCCGGAATTTGATTGTCTCGCGAAGGAAAAGAAGAAAAGAGGACAAACATCCATCAATTGTGCATCAATGTGGAATCATTGTCTTTCCAAGAGACGGTATTTCCTAGCGTAAAACTCGGCGTTGTCTCTTCTCGTTGCTTTCGATTTCATTGGAAATATTACGAGAAATAATAAACGGAAAGTTTCGAGAGGAAGGAGGGGCGTGGGAAGGTGGACAAGCATTCTTCCGCCCGCTCCTTCTGCCTCTCGCCTTTCCCCTATGAACGATGCCGAAAACTCACCGCGAAATGCTAAAGCGCCATCCTCGCCGACAAAAACCCTCCGACCCGCCGTGTCTGGTTTTAGCGTGTTATCATTGTTCCTTTTTCCCTTTGCATCCATTTTCGCCTCCCTCTATAATAGCTTCCTTCCCCTCTTTCCCCCACATCTACGTACGCGCAAACGCAAATGCTATTACTCCCAGCTCCCATATCCTCTGCCGAAGTAGTCAGCCCGGGCGAAAAATAACAAGCTCAAAAACTAGTCTTGTTCCGCATTCCGTCATTTTTGCGCCTCCGCTCCTCACCAAACCCAGCTCCAAACCCCCTCCTCTTTCCCAGCCCGATACCGAGGAGGAAAATCGGTGGATATGTAGAAGTGCCGACTTTTCCGGAGAAGGGGGCATCCATCGCTTCCGTCCAGCTGGGCGACTTAGCCTCCACCCCTCCCCCATTATCCCGCCTTCATCTCATCTCATTCTTATCTAATTTTCCGCACACATTCACACAAGCACCCCTCTCTCCTTTTACTTGACTTTCCGCTAGGGATCAATCCCCAGCCCAAGTATAAAGGCGCTCTTAGAATTCGGCCCAGCCACGGGGAATCGGGGAATCTAGTCCAAATAAAGTTCTACTGAGGTGGTGTGGCCCGGGTAGGAAACCGGATAGAGTACAGAGTACGTTACGTGTAGGAAATACAAAAGAATAAGTTAAAGGGTAGCTCAAGAACCAACCTCACCCTTTTCCTCAGCTGTTTAGGCACTCCCCCACCTCGTATGCCGGCTCGGTTTCTACCCCCGCGCGCGCGCCTGCGTTCGGTGGTACCATGAGGCTCCCGTGCAGCGTTTGAAGCGGGATGTAGTGCTACAGGCCAGTATAGACTGTGGCTGCCACAACGTCGAGGAGCCACCGCTACGCGAGACCGGTATAGGCTCCCGCATGTTCTAGAACCAGAGGCGCGCACCCCACGACAACCTTCTTTGTCGTGTTCCCTTCCTCCTTGGTAATGCATTGATGCATGCTCTGGTTGGGCTCAAGGGATTCATGCAGGCTGCTAGCTAGTCGGTCGTCAAGCAACTGCTCGCCGGTCCCTAAGGGAACCGGGTCCCGCGAGGTGACGGATCGACGTGCGTCTCGGTGGCGGAAGGGGAGGCCAAAGGAGCCCGGGCCCGACCTTAGCCTACCGACGGCTCCCTGCCCTCGTCGCCTAGCCCTGGCTGTTCTTCAACTCTCCGTGTAGAAATTATGTGAAACTGTCTACAGCGGCCCGAGTGGGTGGCCCATCCGTGGTTGATTTTGCGTGATTCAAAGAAGGGGGAACAGGTTCAACGATACTCAGTGACTCTGGAAGACTACAGGCTCAGGCTTGCCCTCCCTCACGAACCTGTTGAGTCGAGAGGCCCATTCTAACCTCGAACCTTGGAACAGGAAAAAAGGTTACGATGGAATCCTCCCCCACGTCCCCATTGACTAATGGAAGATGACGAGCACAAAATTGAAAGTAGAAGCAGTGATCTCCTGACGACGACATGGGACTATGACTACCTAGGAAAACGTATATGCACACGCTCTGCGTCCTTGCACGGATTTACATAAACTCGTCTCCTCGGAGAACCCAAGTTCACATCAGGCCTTCAGCTACCCTGCATCTAACCCCAGCGCTGTGTAGTTGGCATCGTGGCGTCCTGGCAGCAAAAGAGCATAGACACCTTCTTCCTTTTTTTTTTTTTTTTTTTTTTTGGTTCCCCTTCTCTTCTTCCCGAACCTGGAAGGAGAGCAAGATACAATTCGCCGGCACACGGATACGGCGTGCGGGGATACCGGCCGTCACGTCTCCCGGCCATTCTCCCCAATCAGCGTGGTGTATTTGTTCCCTCCCGCATAGAATGCCCCAATTCCTTCACCGAGCACCGGCATGCTGCAGATATGCCGCCGCGGTTCCCCCTCATTCCCTCTACTCGTTTCCCCGTTGGGTCCTTTTTGCAGGGGAACCCAAGTATATGTAGCCGTCCCGGTTTTTCGCTGCAAGTGCAATAAGCTAGGAAGAGGGTGATCTTTTCTCATCCACGGGCCTTTTTTCTTTTGGTAGACATACATACATGCATGCACCCAGCAGCAGCCTCAAGAGGCGTTGATCAACCTCATCCACACCAGCGTTCAAATCATCGCGAAACGGGCAACCTCACCCCTCTCCCCCACACGATCCTCGGGAAGCCATCCCCTCGTCGCCCTCGTCGCCCTCGCGAGCAAATTCCTATCTAGGAGACGACGGGCTCTTCCCCAAACGCCCCCTTGTCCCACTACCTTACACCAGGGTGCGCCTACAGCTTGCTACAACGCCCCCGCGTATACAACAAAAGCTTCGAGTTCCCTGCTCCTCACGATCAACCTTTCCGCTTCTAGATATCTTTGTCCTTATTCCCGTTGGCCAACCTGATTGCCGACTGGTGCTGAACCTCACCGTGGGCGTGGGGCAAGTGCAGAAGCCTATGTGCACCAATGTAGACGCCCTCGTGCAGGAGAGTAGAGGCCGGGCTGCCAACCCACACCAAGCAGGCGGGCAAGTTCTAGAACCTTTCCTCACATCAATGGATCCCTCCGCCCCATCCTGACAACGGCGGCATGCCCGATAGCCACCCAGAGACCTTGGGCCAGATTGTTGATCTGCTCAACTTCAACATTGCACCCCCACGCCCAGACATGGCACCAAGTGCCTTGATCTGGTAGAGGTCGTCTGTATGGTGGGATTAGTGCTATTCTACTGAGCCCGATGTTAATCTACGACTCTAAGGATAGTACGGGCATATTTCAAAAAGAGCAAATAGCAACTTGTTTCTCTCTCACAAAACAAATTCGTAACTTCATCTATTCCATTGGCCTCTCCATGTACGTACAGTATAGCCCTAACCTCCCTTCCTTTGCTTGGAAAAGAGTCACCAGCGTGCTTCTCGCCCTTGACCCTTTCGCCTTGTTTTCTTTTAGCCAAACTCGTGGCATCCGGTGAAAACCGTTGCCCCCACTGCGTATAGTCTACTATCGGAACATGGCAGAAAAGGAGAAAAAGACAAAACAAAAACACGAACAACAGGTAGAGAGAAAAAGCATCAATGCCAAACAGATGGAGTTGTATAAAAAAAGAACTAACACAAGGAAAGTGACCGCAAAAATAAAGATAACAAATAGTAGTATGGCGAGTGATCTGGCGTGGGCAGAAGAGCTAGGCCGTTGGCTGCTCCTCATGCGGCCCACTCCCCATCATTTAAGGGAATATGCTACCGGGTTCCATCTATTCTCCCCTCCTCTTGGCGTTCTTTTTAGGGGTCATCCGATGGTCGCGCCCACCATCCGCCCGAACCCAGGGCGCGTTGTGGCTGGCAGGGCTTTTCTTGATGGAACCGACTGGGTGTGTCTAGCCGTGGTATCTGGTTTCGTGTGTTTCTATATACATTCGTCTTCCCCTTCACCACCCCACCCCCTGGAAAGAATCGGTCATCCTAACGATGAGATGGTCCAAGTTTTCTTAGTACCTTCTGTTGGGACTGGCTCCACTTCTCGGGGACAACGACCAAGAGGTGTGGAGGGGTAGGAGGGAGAAGAGGGAAGAGAAGAGAGGGGAGGGTGGAGGGGGTGGAGGGGGAGAAAATCGAAAATCAATTCTTGATTTCTTCTCTCCCCTGCCTTGGAATTTGGGAGACCTGACATGGTCTCTCAAGAAGCTTCTTTGAGTGAAGAAGAGCTAGCTTAGAGCTTGGAGATGATGGCATCGGCGTACTGCGAGGTGGAGGCCTTGCCACCAAGATCGCCAGTGAGGCTCTTGCCCTCGGCCAGAGTCTGGAAGATGGCCTTCTCGATGCGGACGGCGTGGTCGGTGAGACCCATGTGCCTGAGCATCATGATGGAAGAGAGGAGGAGGGCGGTGGGGTTGGCCTTGTTCTGGCCAGCAATATCGGGAGCGGAGCCGTGGACGGCCTCGAAGATGGAGACCTCGTCACCCATGTTACCCGAGGGAGTGAGACCGAGACCGCCAATGAGACCGGCGCACATGTCGGAGAGGATATCGCCGTAGAGGTTGGGCATGACGAGGACCTTGTCGTTGTAGGGGACGGGGTCGGTGGTCATGCGCAGGCAGGTGTTGTCAAGGAGCTCGGCATCGAACTCGATGTGAGGGTATTCTCGGGCGATGCGCTCGGCGGTGCGAAGGAAAAGGCCGTCGGAGAGCTTCATGATGGTGGCCTTGTGAACAACGCGGACCTTGTGGCGGCCAATCTCCTCGGCGTGCTGGAAGGCGAAGCGGAGGACGCGCTCCGAGGCCTCGCGGGTGATGAGCTTGATGGACTGGACGACGCCGTCAACAACCTCGTGTTCAATACCAGAGTACTCGCCCTCGGTGTTCTCTCGGATCAGGACAGTATCGACGTCATCGTAGGGGGTCTTGTAGCCGGCGATCGATCGGCAGGGACGGAGGTTGGCAAAGAGGTTGAAGGTTCGTCGAAGAGTCAAGTTGAGAGAGACGTGGCCCTTGCCAATGGGGGTCTGAGAGAGAGAGAAAAACGATTAGTTTCCTTTTGTTCTTCTTATCACCTTGTCCCTTTGTACACTATGGCTTCCAGCTTTTGCTGTCTTTTTCTTGGCCAGGAAGGGGATGCACATACCGCAAGAGGTCCCTTGAGAGCGACCTTGTTCTTCTCGATGCTCTGAATGGCGGCATCGGGAATGGCCGTCTTGCCATTCTTGAGGATAGGGTTGACATCAACGGGCTCCCAGGCGATGGGGGTCTAAATGGATTCGAGAAAGACAGCGACGGTTAGCGACCAACATATGCGATTGTAGAGAAAAATAATGGGTGAATTTTGTGCTAGCCATGCCAATTATCGCAGCGGCTCATTGTCATTGTTTGCCATTTTATCTGTCGTATTATTGTGCAGTGCTATTGCTCATCGTCGTACATGGTGACGTTGATTGTCGTTGCTTGGGACCTTCAATTAGGTGTTATGCATGGGGCTCGGTAACCGCCGGCGATGGTGGCGGAGATAACGTGTCAAGGTGGTGACGTCGATAAGACACAGCACAGGTGCACGCAACAGCGCAAGCAAGGAGCAAAATGCGCGCAACGACAAGTGGCATGACAGTCCGCGCGAAGAGAAGGGGGAATTGAAATATACAGAATCATGATAATGGAAGAAAAAAGGATTGCAAAACTCACCTGGGCAGCAGCAAAGATGTTCTTGACGGCGAGCGAAATCTCGGGGCCGATACCGTCACCCTCAATCAAGCTGACAGTGTAGTTTCCCTAGAACGCGCAGAAAAGAGCCAATGTTAGATTGGAGTTGTTTGCAACGCAATGAAAACTGCGACGGTGGGGACAAAGAGGAACTGAGTAGCGACCGAGCCGGTAGGGAGCTATATTTATTATTTTCCTTCCTTCTCTTCTAGCCCATTTGGCGTCGGTCGGGACCTCTGTTCCTCGTCGGTTTCTCGCGTGCGGGATCAGGAACACACTCACGTTTGTGTCCTTGACACCCTCGAACTTGGCGACACGGTCCTTGCCGGCGGAGTAGTATCGCTGGGCCTGTTTCCCAGATTTCACGTTAGTTTATTTTGTCCAGAAATGAGAGCGAAGAAGAGGTAAAATTCCCAAGAAACCTCGCATTCGAGAGCTTCGCCTCGAGCTTCCTCCGGTGCTCGGATCGGCAGAGTGGGCGTGAGAGGGAATTGGGGGAATTGGAGAACCTACCTGGATCGTGACGCTAACCGCTTTCCGAGGACCCGCCGAGCGAGCGCAGTTCCTCGCGGTGATGGAGAAGCTCCTCAGTGCCAGCATTGTGAGAGATTCGCCGTGATCTTGTGGTGTGAGAAAGAAAGAGCAAGGGCGATAAGAGATCAATCCGGCGGAAGAACCAAGGGACCCGGAAGAAGAAGAGGATAAGAAATGATGATAAGGGTGTGAGGGAAAATTCGCTGTTGGGTGAGAGGTGTGACGGGAAGAAGAAGAGAGAGAAGGAAGAAAAAAACAAGATGTAGTGTAGGTTTTTTTCGGTGATGGAATAGATGTTTCTTCGGAGGGAAGGAAGGAACGGGAACAAAGTATACGCTACTGGTGTGTATCAAGGTGTGGTTTGTTCGCTCGTTGTCCGAGAATCCGCCCCAGCCCAGGTCCTGATGTTTTGGAGGAGGGGGTGCAACGGAAGGGGGAACAAGGTGGTATGCGCTACAAGGGAAGCACCACTCCGGACGGGGAATGTGGGAAACTGGAGCTTGGAACGGGCCAGCTGTTGTTGCTCCTGCCCTGTTCCAAGAGCAACGTAGTGTAATAGAGCATGCAGTATATGGTACGGGAGGTACTTGTACAAAAAGCCGCCCAAAGATAAGAACGGGGCCTGTGAGCAAGAGGCATTTCGGATATATAAGGTCTAGTTTCACTGCATCCCACTTTGCGCCGAGCAGCACCAGCCACAAGGCCACGAGGTACAGTACATTGAACAACGCGGACCTGAGCTCTCTCTCCGACGACTTTCGGCTTCCCCACGCTCGACATGTTCGCTTTTTCGTGCATCTCGAGGCATCGTGTAGCTCGCGATACTAAGGAGATAAACACTGCGCAGTTTTCCCCCATCACGAACAAGCTCTAGAAGAATTGAAATCCTCTTCTTCATGAATAAAATAGCAAAAACACCTCGTGTTCCTTGTCCCGTCCAACCCGCCGTCAAGCCACGTCCGTGGCGCGAGCTCCACCTTCGGGCGAGCCGCCGAGCCTATCTCCGCTCGGAGCACCGAGAATATATACACAACATCCACACAAAGACAGAGGGAAAACTGGACGTACGGCCAGGAGAGCAAACAAAACACGCACACACCCCGGTAGGGACGGGACGAAAGAGCGAAATTCTGGAACTAACTCGTTTGAGTACAAGAGCAAGGGGGACAAAAAGCCTTTCTTTTTTTTTTTTTTAGTTTCTAGACGACACGCTCAATGTCCCCCGTGCTGCCCGGCCGCTGCAAGCCGCGCGGACTTTTATGGTCTCATCCTCAGGAACACACACGCACTTTGCTGTTCCTTTCTTTTGGTTGCTCCATGTTCCTTTTCTCCCTGAAAATGGGTCTTCCATCGATTATAAGAATTAGTAGTTAAAAGTTGAGGAGCCGCCGAGAAATCAACGCATCCACTTTCCTGCCATTGACCTGTCTCCCTTCCAGGATGCCCGTCGGCCGTCCGGGCCACCCGTGGCTAAACCGATCGGATCCGTTTCATCCCCCTTTCGCCCGCCCAAAAAAAAAAAAAAGAATAAAAAAGACGCACTTTGATCCATCTCTGAAGAAGAATTGATTATCTAGGGTAGACCCTTGGAACAGGGGCTGGCTCTCCATCACGGGCTCTTCCTCTTGGGTTGCTGTGGATTGCATCGGGTTATATCCAGGTATTATTCCCCACTTATACCAATCTAGGCCTCTCGCCCCGAATCCGAAGGAACTCCGTGTCCCCTTTCAGCAAGTTTTTTTCCTTCTCCCTCCCAATGAATACACGCAGAAAGCGTATTGGGCCGAGATCACGGCCCCACGGCCCACGGCCCACTTCTTCACCATGGCACATGTCTTTCTCTGGTCCCCCTGGTCAATGACAAGTAAACATGGTCAAAAACACTCGTCCACCGAAGCGCAGCACCTCGTGAGACTTCACCAACGAGCTTCCCAGTAAGGGCAGAATGACCAGCAGCAGAGAAAAATAATATAAAACCACAAATTCATAGGTATCTTTTCGTACATGTAAACAAGGTAGATAGCTAGAAGAACAAAGATTCCAATACACACGGTGGAAGAGTAGAAAGAGCGAGCGTGACCACACAAACAGAGGCTTGTTCTCGTCTCTATCCCCATCACAAGTGCTTCTTCAAAACCATTAAAAAAAAAAAAAGAAAAAAACCCCTCCGTGCTCCCGTCCACCAGTCTATTGAAACACAAACACCACCCCCAACCGATCCACCGACACCGTCATCGTATACGGACTCTCCAACAGCGCCACGTCCAAAATGGCATCGAGATGGCTCCGCAGCAACTGCTGCTGCTCCATCGAAATCACCGTGCTCCGCGCCGCCTTGCCCTTGCTTTTGCCGTTCCCTTGCTGTTGCTGCTGCTGCTGCTGAGGGTGGCCGTGTGCGCCGCCGCCGCCGCCGATCCGCTCCGTGTTGAGCGTCAGCGCCGCCGTCGGGTGACTTGCCGCGAAGCTCGGCCTCGCCTCGTCCACGTGCAGCCCGCTATACACCACCGAGTTCTCCATGCGCGACAGGTCCCAGTACCGGAGCTTCTTGTCCGAGCCTCCCGTCACGATGAAGGCGTGCCGCACGTCCCGCGAGTCCTCGCCCAGCGCCGTGCCGACCGCCATCGCCCGTACCCCCTGTCCGCGCTGGCCCCCACGGCCCCCGCCGCCGCCGGCTCGATGCTCGTCGCGAACCGGCCCAGCATGCCCTCCCGCCTCTCGTCATCCACCTCCCACGGCTCGTATCCCTTGAGCCCTTCCTTGTTGCCGCCACCGCCGCTACCACCACCACTGCCACCACCACCGCCGCCACCGCCGACCCGATAGATCTCCCGGCACGCCACCTTTTCCAGATCCCACACCGTCACCTCCCCTGGCCCGTCCCCCCGCCACACACACCCACCTGCCCCGCCCCTTCAAAGGGTGGATGCACAGCCGGTAGATGGAGCCCCCGCCGGGGATACCCCACCCCTTGAGCCGCATCTTGAACCGCAGATCCCACAGGTCCAGCACCCCGTGCGACGTCCCCAAGCACAGCCAGTTGCGCCGCCTGTCCACGCAAAAGCACGTCGGCGCCCCGTGGTGCACCGGATTCTCCAGCACGTACAGCAGCGTCATGGTCCGCAGGTCGATGCCGAGCACCCGCGACCGGTTCGTCGCCAGCACCATGACCGAGTTTGTGTCCGCCTTGAAGTGCTCCACCCACACCGCGTGCTCACCCGCCGGGAGCTGGTACTCCCGCAGCAGCCGCAGTTTCGGGTACCGCACCGCGCCTCCGCCGCCCATGGACCCCGCCGACGACGCCGTCGTCTCCACCTTGACCACGTGCACGCTGCCGTCGCTCGCGCAGCTGATGAAGCAGTGCGTGTTTTCGATGAAGCACAGCGCCAGCACCCGCGACCCCGCCGCGTGTCGGTGCGTCTGCCGCGACCGGTGCGAGATGTTGCGCTCCAGCCGCGCCGTGTCCCACACCTTGACAGCCCCGTCGTCGCCGCCGGTCACGAAGAAGACGTGGTCCGGCGACGCCACCACCCGGTTGATGGGCCCGTGGTGCTCCGAAAACGTCGCCACCAGTCGGCTCGCCGGCCGCCACGGCTCTGCCAGCTGACCTCCCACCCTAATCTTCTTGCGCGCGATGGGCTGCACCACCGGCCCAAACTCGATAATGTCGTGCGGGTAATTGTCCACGTACATGTTGTCCAGCATCTTGAGGATGCTAGGGTCATTGCCTTGGTACGAGTGGTTCGCCTTGACCTTGGCTGATGCCGACCCCGGCGTGCTGCTCAGCGTATCCGACGCCGGGCCCGTTCGATGCGAGGGCACCTGCGCAAACGGTCCCTCGACCCGTCCAAACGCGTTGGTCTCCGTCGTCGACGTCTCCGCAATCGTCTTGTTGCTGTCCTTGCGGTCGAGTAGACTCAGTGCGCTCGACTGCGACCGAATCACCCTCCGCGACGCGTACGGCGCGTCGCTGACTGACAAGTTGTCGTCGTCGCCGCCCGCCACGCTGACGGCGCCCTCCACGGGGCTTCCGCTAAGAAGCCTACCCACCAGCAGCGGTATCCGACGCGCCGACTCCCTGGAGTCCCGGCGTCCGCCCGCGGCCCCAGCCCCAGCCCCAGCCCCCAGCGGCGATAGCGCCCGCCGATCATGCGGGTGAGGAGAGGCCGTGTTACTACTTCCGCGCGACTTGTGCGCGTTCAACGCCGCCTTCTTGCGCTTCGCCACCGGGTCGTCAATCGTCATGCTCGCGTCCAGGAGCGCGTCCGCAATCGTGTACGGCACCCTCGGGTCCGTGGGTGACGGCGCGTCTAGCCCCCGGCAAGAGCGGCTTCTCGTCGAAGAAGACCGTCTGCGGCGTGATGCCCAGGCTCTGCAGCGACACGGCTTCGTTGTACGCGACGGGCTCGGCCTCGCCCGCGCCGCCACCGTTCGCCGCGGCAGCAGCCGACCTCTCCTTGAGCTTGCTCAGCCTCCAGATGAATTCCCGTAGCGCCAAAGTTTGTTTTCATCCTCGGGTGCGAGCCCGAGGCTGCGGAGCTTCGAGAACCACTGGTCGTCTTCCTCATTGCGCGTCACCTTGCCGAGCCCCCATGGCCCGTGAGATCTCGGGACGAGCGCGACGTTAGCGTGGTAAAGGCCAGGTTCCGGAGCTGGTTCAGCGGCTTCCAAAACATGCCCTTGTCCGACTTGGCCGCCCACACGAGCGCCTGCTCAAACACGGATCTCGGCAGCGGTCGCTGCAGGGCGTCCAGCAGCTCCAGCTCCGTGAATCGCGGGATGACACCCGGCTTCAGGTACGGCCTGACCATAGGCAGCACGATGCAATGTATGTCGGCAGGGTTGAGGTATTTGGTCGCGCACGCGAGGAAGTCGGCGGCCGCCTCGCGGATCCACAGATTCGGGTGCATAGTAAATCGCCCAATCACGTCCACAAGTAGCCACGTTTTGGCCCTCGACAGCAAGCCCAGGTTCGCCAGTTGCGCTAGCGAATGCAGCGCGGCCTGCACTACGAATTCCTCCGTATCCGTCAGCGCCTGGGTCATCAGAGGCAGGATAAAGTCTTCGAGGCTGCTGGTCCCAACCAGGGCCGCGATGCCTACAATCGCCTCGAAAAAGGCGCACTTGAGCATCCAGTCGCGGTCGTTGAGGTACGTGTTGAGGTGCGCGAGTAGAATATCGTTGGCCTCGGCGGGCCCAAAGAACACGCACAGCTCCGGAACCGAAGTCAAAAAGGCCCGACGCACGTAGACGTCCGAGTCCTCCACGAGCGCCTTGGCGTGGAACTCGAAAAGCTCAAAGAGCTGCCTCTGCGCGTTATCAAAGAGGCTGCCGAAGGCTGCCTCCGCCTTGGCCCCAGGCTCTACCTCGGGATCGGCCACGGTAAAGGACCCATCCCCTTGAGCGACGCCGCCATCTCCAGAAACCTGGAGGCGGTCGACGCCAGGCTGCCGATGCACGAGGCGTATGTGGCGCGAACCAGCGGGCTAGGCGATGGCTTGTGGGCCGAGGTCGAGTACAAGGCGGACTGGAACCGTGGTAGGACGTACTCGACAAAGACGTGCGCATTGATGGGCGTCACCACGCGCACCATCTGCAGCAGTTGCGTGATGCTCCGTATGGCCGAGATGACTACAATGTCAGCCTTGTCCAGCAGCAGAGACACGAGGTACGGCAGCACTCGGTCCAGCTTCGCCTCGTCCGTAAGCCGTTCCGCAAAGGCGAGCAGCACATCGCAGGCACGTATTTTGGAAGCTGCGCGAGCGGTGTTGCGGATAGAGGATACGACGAGGGTAACGAAGATGAGGGTACCGTCGTCCTCGGGGGCTCGAGGGCGGCGGAGACGTAGTGCTCGTTATTCGGTATATTGAGCCGCACAGGGAAATGTTCGAGAGCTAGCTTGGGCGAGACGGGTGGGGCCTGGGATGCGCGCTTGTCGTCTTGGTAGCCGAGGAAGTAGGCAATCTTATCAAAGTCTAGGAATACTCGGTCTATCCTTTCGTCGGGCTCGCCCAGGTTTTGGATGCGTTGGAGATGGGACTGTTCCCCGACGAAGGGTCGGTGACGAGGCCCATGTACTGGTGGAGAAAGTTGTAAAAGTAGTCGGGGAAGACCTTGCTCCTCCAAAACTCGAGGTACTGCTCCGCCGAGTACCGCTTCTCCGGGTCGCGTTGGATCATGTGCGAAATCATTTCCCGCACGTCCTTATCCGGGATCACGCTCAGCGCCGTGATGGTCGGGTCGTACTCGCCATTTCGATACTTGTAAAGCTGGCTAAGGGTGAAGAGCTCGGTTTCGAGGAAGAGCTGGGCAATCACGCATCCGGCGCTGAATACGTCCATTGCCCAGGTCAGCTTCTCGTCCGCCTTGGACGTCCCTGCCTCCCGGGATTCGAGAACCGCTCGGGCGCTATGTAGCACGTCCGCTTCCCTACCGTATCAAAGTAGTAGGTGAAGTCGCCGGGGTTGTCGTCCGGCAGCACAATGGGCTTGAACGCCGACGAGAAGTCTGTAAGGTACAGCCAGTTCCACGACGTCACAAGTATATTTTGCGCCTTGATATCTCCATGGTAAATATCCCTCGCATGGCAGTCACGCAGGGCGCAGAGGAGCTGGAAGGCTAGCCACTTCTTCTCGATATCCTCCAAGAACGGCCGTGTACTTATCCGGTCGTAGAGAGAGCTGTACATGTATTGGCGCACTAGATAACCGTTGGTCTCGGTCTCGATGACTCGCTGGAACGGTAGCGCATTCGGGACGTCGGCGAGGGCCTTTCTTTGTTCTGCGAGAGGGGAAAGCGGGGATCACACGTTAGCACAAATCTGCGTAAAAATGATTGTCGACACAAACCGTCAAAGAGATCCAGGGGTTTGTTAAAGGGGAAAGGGGGTAGTGAAAACGAGAAAAAGAAATCAACAACCGCAAGACTCACCTATAATTTCCTTTCTATACTTCTCCAGCGGCATGGGTGTATACGGCTTCACGAGGATCTTGACCAGCACGACACCATCGTGGTGCCGTGCTCTCACACTCTTCATAAATCTCGCGTTCCCTATGCTCTTCTCGTACACTAGATCACCCAGTTCCGGCACATCGATGCTAGCCGACCCCGCCGAGGGCGTGGCCAGCGAAAACCCTTGACCCATCGCGGATCCTCGTGCCGATCGCGAAGCGGAGAGTCAACCCCACACGCCAGATGCGTGTGCGGCGCCTTGTATTTTCCGGGGAGAGGGCGGGGAAAACGCGTGCGGAAGGAGGTGGACGGAATGCCCCTAGAGGTGGTGGTTATGAGGGGGGCGGGAGGGTCGTTTTCTCCGCCTTAAGGGAGAGAGAGGCGGGCTCTCTGGAAGATGACGCTACCTAGAGTCGTGTGGAGATGATCGGACTAGGCTCGTCATTTTCCGGTCAAGAATGTACAGAAGCCGCTCAGTTCGAGGTACGCGGAGGAGGATTCGTAGGCAACGACTCGGCGAATTCGACGGCGCGTGGGCGCGGGTGTGTTGCGTGTGCGAAAGGTCGAGCTTCCCTCCGTCTTCTAGGATTGTCCGGGGGAAGAGATGCTGAGATGGGGCGTCGCCAAAAGAAACGGATGCTGCAGACAGGAAAAGAAAAATTATGAAAAATAGAAAAGAATAGAAAATGGAGATGTGAGCAGGAGAAGGGGAGGGGCTCCAGCTTTTCAAGGTGCGTAGTAAAATGAACGAGGACAAAGTTTAGAGTTGATGCTGGGCTCGTTCGCCCGTGGTTTCTCGTCCGAAGCTGTGGGAGATGGAATCGGTCAATCGGTGTCGTCAGAGCCAGCAGGCAGTGGCACTTGAGCACTCACACAGTGTGTGGTGTCGTGCGGTGTGCTCTGCGTTATGAATGTGCCAGCTGTGGGGCGGTGTGGCTGATGTTGCGGGTGCTTTGTCGCTGCCTCCAGAGACGATTGAGGCACTGAGGCACTGAGGCACAGGGACACTGAGACTGAGCCTTGAGGCTAGCCAACACTAAATAACCACACGCTCCTCACACCAGCATTTTTGTTCCTCCAATAGAACTTGATCACCATCACGCTCGACGACATGGGCTGCAGCCTTGCATCATCAGTGTCGCCCGAACCTCTCAGCATGTTCTGTAGAGTTTCCAGCGACATCCATTGATCAAGCGCACATTGAGAAATGATGCAATGGACGCATCAATGGTTCAACCATCAAGAGCAGCACAGATATTAGCCACGGGTCAATTAGGGGACAGCACAAGTTTTGTGAATAGTAACCAAGGTCGTTTGTAGGATTAGCTATGTACACAGCCTTTCGTACCGAGTGTCAAGATAATTGGCACAAAGCCTTAGTTATTCTTTGTCCTCGAAGCTGACAACCTCCCTCTCTCTCTCTTGCATGTGTCCACCCCTTCGCAACATACACGCTCGCCCAAGAGAAGGACCTAGTACAATCCTCCTCTTCCCCCGTTTCTCCAGACTTTCCACTTTCAAAAACTACAACACAAACAAAGGGAAATTATATGACAAGCGCCCTCCGGAGCGCGACCCAGCAAACCATGCTCCTCCCGACATCTAGCATTATATAACGCAACTTTCTCTCACTAAGAAATGTCCATAAAAAGGGGCGCTAGTAAAATGTTCAAAAGAGAGGGGAAAAATATGTGAGATAAGGAATGGAAGAAGGGAAATATAAAGTGGCGAGAAGCCACAGGAAGCCACACCAACAGGGAAAGCATGAGCTCTGTCTGGGCTTGGGTATATCAGACGAGGAGAAAAAGATAGAAGTGAAGTAGGAGGGCGCATTGCGGGGTTGAAAATTATGACGAGAGTCAAAAATTTCAGAGGGCCTGAAAAGGCTAATGGGCATCCCCAGCCGTCCAGGATAGGCTTCGTTCAACCTAAGGGAGTCCCAGCGCGCATGAGCCGAGATATTGTGAGGCCCGGTCCCATGTAGCAGCTGATTTGAATAGGAATTGTCGAATGGCATGAGACCATCTACTCAAAAGGGCCCTGGTCCAGAGGGGGAGTGAAAATAGGCGAGGGGTTTCAAGATTAAAAGCGTCACCGAGAACGAACGCAAGGCCATTAAGCGTGTCGTCTCGAAAATTCAAGCGCTGTTGTTTTGTCGTCTCTATAATGCAAAAAGCGGCGGGTGTAGAGGACGGTGAAGATGAAACGGACGGTTCCGGTGAATAAGAGAAACAAGTCGAGAGTGTGGCAACAATCAACGCGCGGGTTTGCGAGAGATGCAGGGGAAGCCGTAAACTCCTGTTCGAACCCCAGATAGGAAAAGAGAGAGAAAAGGAGATGTGCCAGAGAGCTGGCCGCTTCATCGTGAAGACTTTCAAGGACGTAACATCATGGGGTGGGTGGGGCGTGGGCGTGAGCGGGGTATGGATCAAGGATACCAGGCACGGATCGGCGCATATTCCATCACGCCCTCTCTCAAGAGATGGCGGATATTGTCCGCTGATGACTCGATCCCGTCTCGGTCGAGCCTTCACCGTCAATTGTCTTCCTCCAGTGCTCCGGCAAGCACACGCAGACAAGAGGGAATGCCTTGATCTCTCCACTAACGGGAGGCGAGGTATCACGGCGTCCCGACGTATTAGAAACCCCGCTATCCCTCTGCGCTTGCCGCCTCACCTCCCACTCATCGGCACGGTCGTCGAGCAAGATGCCCGTCGCCCATCCGTCGTCCCATATACCCACTACTTTGAGCATATCACCACGCTCCAAGGCGAACTCGTCGGCAGCCCGGGGCTGGTACGCCCAGAGAACCGCCACCCGGTCGCCTGGATGGATATCATCTTGTGAATAGTAGTCTTTGAAGAACGGCAGCTGCTCCGACTGTTGGCTATTGAGGCCCCGGGGCGACGACATCCCACCCGCACTAGTCGGGGACTGTGCCTCGTCCAGCATCGAGTTGCTCGAGAGCGAGCCGTTCCTCTTCATGGCCGTAGGCGGGGGCGGAGGACACCGGCCGCAGTGTCAATGTCGGGAGTGTCCCCGAACTCGTCCGAGGACGAATGATTGTCCCCACCCTCCTCGACGACATGCGGCCCGAGATGCCACCCACAGCCGCCACGCCAGCAGCGCTAGATAGGCGAGTATGGGAAGGAGAGTCTCCAGAGTGGCCCTCGAGGGCCGACATCCGCGCGATGCGGCCGCCCGGGAGCATCTCGTATCCTCGGGGCATCGCAGGTGACTGGAGCTTGGTTTCCGACATGGGAGGCCCCTTCCGAGCAGGCGACGGCTGGTTAAAGATGCTCCCGCCACTCTGGCTACCGTAATTGCGGCGACGGCGAGCAAGTACAAGGCACAGATATACCAAGCCCGCGAGAAGTAATGCTCCGACCACTGCCCCAACCACGATGCCGGCAATGGCGCCGCCGGAGAGGCCGCCATCATCATCATCGTCGTCGTCGTCCGGTACCGCACTAGCACTCGGGACGGCAAACGTCATAGTTGGTAGGATCGAGGGTAGTTCGACACCGGCACAGCGTTCCTCCACGTTGGAGCCGAAGCAGCAGCCATCGGTGGCGTTGAGCCCCGTCGTTGCGCAGTAAGCACAAAGACCAATCGTGCTGTCGGAAAAGCCACAGTTTTCGGGCTCGTTAACGACACCGGGGACACACCTAGACGGGTTGAGGGCGTCTTCGGGCAACGCGCAGACCGTGAGATCGGCGCGAATTAACTTGACAACGTTCGGGCCGGGGGTCGGGCACATATTCGGGTTCGACGAAATGAACGCTTCGCTCTGAGCGAAATCAGCACACGTGTCGCTGCAAGCCGGTCGCGAAATGTCTGTCGACAGGCCACAGGTATTCTTGGACATCTGGACAATGGAGCTGCATATCGTCGTTTTCGTGTACCGCGCGTACATATCGCTCGCTTTCGTAAAATCCACGGCGCCACAGCCAAACTGGGTTTGATACCTGTTGAATCATTAGACAACGAGTTCTCCATCCACATTGTACCAAATGCTCAGTTCACCTACTTTTCGGTAATAAAGGTCGTCTTGAGATACGACTCCATCGCGGAATCAAACGATTGAGTATCCGTCACGTATTGGAGGAATGAGCTAGGGACAATCCATTAGCAAATGGGTGGAATCCAAAATGGGCAGCAAAAGCCCTCTCCACTGAAATGCTCCAGGTCGGACTTACAAGGTCCCAACAACATCCGACGTGAGGGCAACGGATGCATCTGACCACGCTCGGCATGCTGAAGAGTCTTTGAGCGAAATGCATTGCCCTGATACGGTCGGAACTGCTGACAGCATCGCGAGGATTATCGCCGAAGTTGACAATCGCTCGCCCGTTCTCGAAGCCGCCACTTTTTCCCCTTTCCTTATCCCCTGGGCGCCTTCTCGGAGAGCGCCCCGGTCCTTTACTACCGCCATGATTATTATGTATGATCCCCGTCGTGCTTTACAAGATTACCCTTCCGTCACCGGCAGGAGGTTGACATAGGCCCGGTTCCAAATCGTCGTGCGCTGAAGGACTGGAAACACACTGCTCTTCAACGGAGATGCTGAAGTTGCCGAGTGGCGGTTCGAGCCGAGCCCTCAATCTCGATGGGGGCGAGTATCCCAAGCGAGCACGGGAAAATCTCGAGTACTACTGGGCGGTCGCTAACCGAGAGGGCCCGCAAAATGTTGCAACAGAGCCGGGTACAGAGGTGAACCGAATCGTAGACAGTGCTGGAATTGACCTGGTGATGATCGATTATAGGCTTCGGGCCATTGTTCTCTCGGGGTTTGATCTCGAGTAAACTATTATCGCCAAAGGCTCTCTCGTTTGGTCGGGCTCGGTAGAGCAAGAGTCGAGTCGCACAGCGCGTGTCGTATCCACACAACGGAACAAAAGAGTGTATCGAATCGAAGAAAAGTTCCAAGCGCTCCCTCTGCTTGAAATCAGCCAACAAAAGAAAAGTGAACGAAAAGGAGTTGCCACTTTCTGCCTCCCTCTTCTTTTGTTTGGCCAGGCTTTTCACGAGGCGCGAATTCCGAAAGAGGAGATTCGAGGTGAGAGAGTGTGGGAAGGGGAGAAGAGGTGAAAGAGAACAAGCACAGGGCAAAAAGAAGAGAAATTGGGGTTAACTAAAAGGGGAAGAAGTGAGGGTATTATTATTAAAGGAGGAGGGAAGGAACAAGGGAGAGGGTAGGGTAGGATTTTCGAGGTTATTTTGGGGGGACCCTTCCTGCGGATATAGCTAGGATACACGAGTGCCTCGAGCTGTTTGAACGGCTGCCGAGGACAATTGCTTGGGCCACACTTTACCACAAGCAGTGTACACGACGGACAGCATGCAGGAAGTGTAAGAATAGACCAGGTCAATGGAAGGACGAAGTGAGGAGAAAGAGCCCGCAGGACGGCAAAGAACCAGAGGGAAAGTAGAGAGCGAGGAGGAAATGAAGGCGAGAATGTGGGAACAGCGAGGGAAGGCGCACAGATGAGGGTTGATGCGACAATACATGGTGGACAAGCCCAGCGCCTAACATCGAGAAAGACGAGAGAGGGGGCCCAGTTCGCTAGCTCTGCATACGATAGTACCTGCTGCAACTCTTTCCACTAATACGTCGTTTTCCCTTGGGGCCAGGCCACCCAGGTGCAGAAGGGCCAATTCTCAGACAAGCTCATTCGTGTGTACATGCACTCCTTGCTCCTCTCCGCACTACGCACCGCCAGAGGCTGCTTCGATGCCCTGGCACCCCAGCAGTTGACGAAATTGCCAAAGAGCCGAAAGGGAACGAATCGACAGCCTGCGACTCCGCCCGCTGATGCACGGTACCTGAGCGTTAGCGACTCGGCACGACATCCACATCCACACCACTGTCCGGAGGAAGAAGGTACGAAGTACAAGGACAAGGCCAAGCGACAAGGTCAAGTACCACGGATTCTGTGCGAGTCCCCTCCTTCTTCCACACGATAGTCGACGCCAAAGAGAGGAAGGGGCGCTCAAGGGCCCTTGCACGTCATGAGAAAGGTACCCCTACTATGGGGAAAGTGCCACGGGTACTTCTGTAACGTGGAATGAAATTTTGTGTTGGCCAATCGAGGGGACAAGTACCTTGACCCACTGGAACCGCCCGAATCGTCTTGGACGGGAAGCGCAACCTACATGTTTAATCTTGGAGCGTGGAAAATGACAGGGATCATGGGCATGGGCCCCTGGTCAGACATCAAGGGTACAGAGATACAAAGCGAGAGCTCCGACGTGTTCCAAGGTCGCTGGGCCTACTTCAAATTTCCATGCTGGTCAAACCCTCCGAGGGAAGCAGCATTGCAGCGACCAGATCTGTCATCTCCTCCGGAGGAAAGCACACCCCATCAATCATTGAGCAAATCCAGTGTGCTCTGTTTTGTTCCTTCTCTTCCTTTCGTTGTGGGGAGTCGTGTACTTATCCTCCGTTCGGCATAAAATGTGTCGTTTATTCCGATATGCAGAGGTGGGAACAAAAGCCTGGACCATCATGATCATGTGCGGTCTATGTTGATCAAATCAATTCGGGAGATCTCAATCATCTATTGTCGACGGGCTCCTATAATACAATGCTGAACCTGATGGCGCACACCCCCGAACCCGCCGGGAGAGGCCAGGAGCGAACTCAACGGATGTCCACGCTTTGTCAACACCAGAGGAGCTCCGAGACTCAGCCTATCCCTTTCGCTCCAAGTAGGAGAAAGAAGGGAAGAAGAAAGGTTGCAAATTGTTTCGGGAACTAAAAGAGAAACAACTAAAGATGGCTGTTGCTCCAAGACATGAAAAGCGTGGCCTCGAGGCGTGAAACCGTCAAAGATGGACCCGCCAACCCACCCTCAAATGGCCCCAACGCCGGTGCTTTCACTAGTCTCAATCCTTCAGCTGCCCTTCGATTGAGCTTCCTCTTCGTGCAACACCGGGATGAATATCACAAATGCGGCAGAGTAACAACTGGTTTCCCGAGCGCCATAATGCGATGAAGCAGCAGTTCGCTCCGCAGTCACACAGTTGGCCTCGGTCATTCTCATCCTCTCGCCAAAAGGCATGCATCCGTCCGCTTAAAGATCTCCCTCATCGCCCCCAAGACCTCGTATGTTCTGTTTTCCTGGCCTCTCTTCTCGCCGGCGCAGTCGCCAGCGGGATCCTCCCCGTTGCGTTTTGCCCACTTCGCCCAAACCCTATTCTCCTTCTCATGGCACCGGTCTGTACGAGCACTGCATCGCAGCGCCGATCTTCAATCACTTCGCATGTTGTTGTTCTCATCACAAATTCTTGAGTCGTGAGGCTCCAAAGCGAGGGGGCAGTCTGCACAAGTGTGGAGATGTCAATATTCCGTGCATGCGTGACACCGTCCCCCTTGTCTTATTCATACCCGGTATCATCATGTTGCCGATGGGGGACCTGAATCTGCTTCAACTTTCTTTTTCGTTTGATGTTTCTAACACAGACGGGTTCGTTCTTGACACCATCATCCTATGTGTTACCATCAGCCTCTTTTTTTTTCTTTGCGTTTTCGTCTTCATCTTGCCCATCACTGCAGGGCAAGCCCTTGCGTGTGAAACCATGCCCTTGTTGTCGATGAAGCGGCAAAAAGCAATGCCTTCACCTCAAGTAGCCCAAACCATTGAGGGGCCAATAAGCCAAGATGCCAGACGTATCTTTTCGAGGGGAAAAAGAACAATGGCGAAAACATGGTGGAAAAAAGATGGGTTCTACTCTATTCCTTGTCTTGTATTTTAGAGTGCGTGCTCTGCGGAACTGGATGTATAGAAACGAAACGCCAACGCTTCGCTCAATTCCCTCCCTTCGCCATCATCACCACTTGATCCCAGCGTCAATGGTTCGGAGATCCGTTGCCAGCCTCCCAGACACGGCTCAATGTTTTCAATATTAGTGGTTTTCCCAAGCATCAAGTTTACAAGGCCAAATGTTCTCTGTTGCTGGGGTTTCCCACCTTCTCTCTGGCTCTGGTCGCGTTGTCCGCGAGGGGAATAACCAAACAGCATGGGGGCCCCTGCTGGTGCCAGTTTTGACGCGTCGTTCACCGTTCCTGCAGATCTCAAGAATGAGTAATGCAACATGGAATAACTTTCCATGCGCCAAGATTGCATAATAACATTCTTTGCTATGGAGTGGGTAGATGAGGGTGCGTCAGCATTTCGTTAGCAGATGCAGGGTTGATCTAATCCCCTTTTCCTTTTCATATCTCCAGTGTCAGCGTGCATGGCAAAGGACGATGACTTGAGATTATTCCAGGACCAGCTTCACCCAGCTATATCTGAGCTACTTCGTACTGAATAATACCGGTCACGGTATTGTCCAATGCATGGATATAGCTTGTGGCGTTATCGTGACTCCCGAAAGTTGTGGAAGAAGGAAAAGAGTGCTTCAATAGTCTGTGCGAGATGTTTCTCCCATCTCAGGTACTCTGTCTCCTTCCTGAATGGTACATCATGAGTGGCCTGCTGCCTTTGTACAAAGTATTTGTACCATGACATGGAGATGTACACTACACGCTGGTGTCCGAGAAGATGAGTTCTTACAGGTAAGAAAAGCGCTATCCATTTCTCCTGGATATCGGATGAAATCCCTACCCGGTCGAAGATCACTTGTTGTTCTTTGTCAATCGATCCCTCCAAGAAGTGAGTCGATGATTTTGGCAAGTAGGTGTCATCCGCTCGTTCACGCTCGCGGATACGACGAGGGTTCCTCGCAAAATATTATAGTTCTTCTGGAAATCAAACATGAAGGTCCAATCAGAAATGGTAGGCTTGATGCAACACTCGTGTGGCATTTATTTCCGCACACCACGAGTTCGAGGCTTGTGAAGCCACGGAAACTCTTGGATTGGCATCGGTGGTCGAGAAAGAAGCAAGAAGGAAAGGAAAGAAGGGGAAAAAGGCTGGCCCTTTGACGCGTCCCAAAACACGGTTGGTCCAAGAACCGCCAGTGAAATGAGACACGCGAGAAAAGGGGCGGCGGCCAGCTAGCCCTGCTCTTTTCGAGGAAGCAGGCGGAGCATTACGAGGATGAGCTCACCCAGGCCCTCGTCAAAGATCATCTTCACTCCCTTCTATCTGACCGATTACACCAACCAAATTCGACGCCGACCCTTGCGGCCCGCAGCCGGAACACACGGGGCAACAAGACAGAAGGCAGGGGATGTGACTTTTTGCTTCATTTCCTCGTCTTTGTGCTGTCTCGTCAGTCCTGGTTGTCCAACCCCAGACGCCATTCAGGCACACCGAACCATGCCCCAAGGGAGGAAGGGGGAAAGGTTACTGGGGTGCCTCGGGA